ACTGATAGATTTAAAGTACATGTATCTTCAACTGTACTAAATAAGAAAAAACTTTCACAAAATGATTTATCAATTTACACTCCTACCACATTCTTGGCAATATGTGGTATTAACTGACTTTTTTTTTTTGTACCAGGGATCAAACTCAGGACCTTGTGCTTGCAAGGCAGGCAGCGGAACCACTAAGCTAAATCCCTGGCATTAACTGACTTTTTAATGCCTATCTGTTGGAAGTGAAATGCTTACTTCTATGGTTCTATTTTGCACTTTTCCTAACTGTAAGTAAACAGTTTTTCAAATAAGTTGTTAGGAATCATGATATAGATAAGAAAATTATCAAAGTACCCTGCATAAATGTTAAAGATTATTCCATAAAATTTTTATTCTCATTTATATGTGTTTGCACTGGGTCACCATGCAAAATTTTTGTAACTGTTAGCTTCTAACAAGTCAAAAGATCTCGCTTGGATGTGTAGTCATAGTAAAACTCCACAGGAACATTTGGGTAACTCTTTGGTACATCACTCAAGGCTACATCACAAAAAAAAAAAAAAACCTATTTTATAAAAAGGCCAGAACCTGAGAGGTCCTTCATATATTGACTGGCAAGAACAGATTAACAAAAGGAGAAAACCCTGAGGGAAGCAATAAGGGGTGTTATATGGAGATAGGATTCTATAAAACCAATTGATCTATGACATATTTAAGCTCATTTTAAAAGAATCATATATTTCTCAATGAAGGTTTTCCTCAGCACTAAAAGAGGAAGCTAGGATCCTGTCCTCCGAACTACCAAAATGATAGAAAACCGACGCTCCCTTCTCTACAGACACAACCCTAATTCCTACCTCAAGAATCATCTCAACCTGTGCATTATGTGAGACCATCTTTTTTTTTCTTTCTTTTTTTGGTACTGGTGATCGAACTCAGGTCCTTGCGCTTTCAAGGCAGGCAGCAGAACCACTGAGCTAAATTCCTGGCCCCGAGACCATCTTTTTAAGGTCTCTGCTACCTACTTCTTTTCCCTAAAGTACCACAGAAGAATCATCTGAATTCTAAACAGTTCTATTTCATTCAGTCAACAAAAAGATTTACCAAGCCCCTAATATGTCATCTCTATATTAAAAATCAAGCAGGGCCAGGGATTTAGCTCAGTGGTTTCGCCACCTACTGCGCAAGCACAAGGACCCAAGTTCGATCCCCGGTACCAAAAAATAAAATAAAATAAATCAAGCAATTATCTAACCACACACACACACACACACTTTTTGGTGGTAGTGCTATGGAATCCAGGTCTCTGGAGTACACAACTCATCTCCCTAAAACTTTTACTCCTGCACGTATTCTTTAAAGTTTGATATTCTTATTTAATATCAATCTATTCCAATTGTTTCTTCTGGAAAATATTTTGCTTCCTGGAATGTTAAACCACATAACATGACCAAACTTCTGCTACTTCCTTTGTTCCACCAAAAATATTACCACTCTGATACTATCAAATAACCAACCATCCATAAGAACTCTTTCCTCACAAGGTGCTGGATCAATCAATCACACCACAGCAACTGCCATTTACTGATGCAATAAATGATTCTATGAACATACTTGTCCCTTTTTTTTTTTTTTTTTCTGTACCAGGGATCAAACTCTGGTCCTTGCCCTTGCCTACCTGTCTCTTAATAGGAGTGTAACCAAAGGCATTTAAATTCCATACCTTCCTGGGGATTTAGCTCAGTGGTTCCGCCGCCTGCCTCGAAAGTGCAAGGTCCCAAGTTCGATCCCCGGTACCAAAAAAAATAAATAATAAATTCCATAACTTTTCTGATTCAATTTCAATAATAAAATGGATAAAACAATAGGAATCAACAAACAGCAAGAATTACATAATCTTTCTCCCACTGTCTTCCTTCTTAGTTTTTTCTTTGTACTTTCCTCTCAATGTAATAAAATCCTTTCACAGACAGAAGTATTTAAACTGAGGTACCAGGAAATACAAGGATAAAGTGAAGAAAAGACAAAAATAAGTATGAATAAAGAAATTAAACAAGATCAAGTGGAGCTATAGCTGTCTCCACTCTTTTGCATGACCAGATTCTAAAGAAGCAAATGTGAATATAAATCTTTCCCCACAGCAGGCAAAATTCTTAAGTCCCTCTATGACCCACACACTTGTATAACCTCCTTTCTGTCAGTGTAGGGAAGATCTATACATATAATGAAATAACTTTTCTGTGATCAGGTTAAACAGCAGAAATTTTTGCATATATAATTAAGATCCCTAATCAGTTGCATTTGCCAAAGATTATCTGGGCCTGATCTAATCAGGTTACCTATTTAAAAGTGGGTCATATGGGCCTGGGATTTAGCTCAGTGGTTTGGCTGCCTACCTCAAAAGTGCAAGGTCCCAAGTTCGATCCCCCGTACCAAAAAAATAAAATAAAATAATAAATAAACAAAAAGTGCATCATACTGAAGCATCTAGAGGTCACAGAAGTCAGAGATTTGTTTCTGTTTGCCTGGACAATACCAAACTGCTGTGTTCTGAACTGCTGCCTAATGGACTATACTGTACTAGGGCAAGGAACAGAGAACAGACTGTGGTCAACAGCTCCAAGAAGTTGGGAACTTCCATCATAACACCATTAGAATATGAATTCTGCCAATAAGCAGTGATCTAGCTAAAGGAACCTGTGCCTCAAATAAGGACAGCCATGCTGTATGTGGTAGTGCAGGCCTGTAATCCCAGCACTCAGGAGGCTGAAGCAGGAGGATCACAGAGAGTTCGAGGCCAGCATGGGCTACATAGTGAGTTTGGGGCCAGCCTGAACTACATAGCGACACTCTGTTTCAAAAACATAAAAAAAAGAAGTGCAGCCACATCTCATACCCTGATTTCAGCCTGTGAGACGCTGATACCATAACCAAACTTCTGACTTTCACAACTTGAAATAAATAACAAAGAAAAGGGGAAAAGCATGTATCTTTCCCCAGATTACATTTAGCATTGATTATGAAGACAGACAAGAAAAATGATTCCAACTGTACAAGTTTGTGTATGTCTTAAGTTCTAACAGTTAAAAAGGGCTTTTTCAGGGCCGGGGATTTAGCTCAGTGGTTCTGCCACCTGCCTCGTAAGCACAAGGACCCGAGTTCGAGCCCCAGTACCAAATAAAAGAAAAAAAGGCTTTTTCACACATACCATGTCAAACCACATTACCCCATTTACAGATGAGGTCAGTAAGATTCTAGAGAGTAAAATCCCATACCAAAGACAACAAACCTATGGGGTCTTCCAAGCAACTTCAGTTCAAGAGTCCCCCTTCCCCTACACCACAGGTCCCCTAAGTCTTTGAACGGGGCCTTTCAAATCAATAACGGTATTACTTTCTTCAAAGGAGAAAATCCTAGTAACAATTTTCCATATTTTGCCTCTATTTAAATATCCTTTAGCTTTATCAGAATATCAAAATTAATAGACACATAAAATTTTCTAGTCAAAAGTTATTTGTAAAAATTATCACTGGTAGACTTGTCTAAATAAATTTAGTTTACTGAAAGTACATTTTTTTGCGTGGAAAAATAATTTAGAAAAACACCTGTAGGTTTTCTAAAACTTTATTTAGGTAACAATTTGTGTCACAGCCTCAAAACTTAAAACCAAAGAAATAACATTACCGGTTCTTTCAGTATTTCCTTTCTCAGACAAATTTTTTAAGTCTGAATTCATACATTATAAATATGAGAACATGGTACAATATATAATAAATGAGTCGTCAGCTTGCAATTCTCTTAAAATACACGAAAAATTTAGAGATTCACATTCAAATTCCACATAAGTTACAAATCACACAACTTTATGCCAATTTAGACTTTCCCAAACTGTTTTGTGCGAAGATGTAAAAAATAGTCATTTCTAGTCACAAGAAAGAACTATATCTTCTTAACAGCAACTTTAACAGCAGACAATTTGCTATCACAAACAGCACTGTTTTGATTTTATAAGCTTCCAAAACCATCCCACGACTTAAACGCCTGGGGCACGACTGCCTGATATGTGAAGAGAATCGATAACATTTCAAATGTAGGCAGAAGGGGTGACGTGACAATCTTAAAACCTGAAAATTTCTTAGTCCCTACAGCACACAAGCAGCACTCACTTTGGGTTCTCTAAATGGGGCACAGGTCCAACTCCAGGCACTCCCCTTTTCACAGTTCTTCACCCTGCCCCCACCCCGAGAAAGGAGGGAAAACAACTTTTATTGGCCTCATCTCCCCGGGGATTGGCAAACTAGCGGGGCAGTGCTCCGGCCTATACCTGTTTCCCAAGGAGGGCCCCGTTGGGGAGGGGAAGGCAGACAGCAGGAAAGCCTGGACTCAATGCCCCACTCTCCAGCCCCCTGCCCCACCCCAGGAGCAAGAGGCCTCGGCCGGCCGCCACGCCGAGCTACCCCCAGGCCCCTCCGCTGAAGCGAGCTCGTTGTCATGTGACGACGACGCCGCTAAAACACCGCAGAAACGCAGGTCGGCGGGCGGACAGTGGAAGGCATTCGCGCCAGCCCGCCTCGGCCCAACCCTGCCGGGCGCGGGCGAGTCCCGAGAGCACAGGCGGGGGGGCGGGGGGCGGGCTTGGCGGCGGGCCCGAGCGCGCCACAAAGGCTTCCGCGCCTGTCGCCGTAGAGCCTGAGCGGGCGGGGGCACAATTTTCGGGGCCCGCGGGAGAGGTGGGAGAGACGAAGGCGCTGGGGTGCCCGCCGCGCCCACGGCCGGCTCCCCGGGAGCTCGGAAAGCCCGTGACCGCCGCGCACCTCACAGGCCGGGCAGCCTCCCTCCCCCGCGCGAGGTCCGCGCCCGGCCCGCCCGCTCCCCGCTCCCCGCTCCCCGCTCGCGCTCTCCAGTCTCGCCCGGCCTCCATCTTGGATCGCCGCTTCCAGCCCCCGCGCCGCTGCCGCCGCATTCCCCCTTTCCCGCCCCCCGCCGCCGTCGCCGCCGCCCGCACTCACCTCAGCTGCCCATCCGGGCGCTGCCGGCCGTCGACCTAGTTTCCCCCCAAAAGTCTCCGGTGTGTTATTCCCGATGTGGGGGGGGTTTACGAGGTGGTCGCCGGGGGTTCGGGAGCGGGGGCCGCGCCTTCAACGGAGCTGCAATCCTAACCCGCCATCTGGTGGCATTTTCCACACGCCAATGGCGCCGCTGCAGACTTGGGTCCGGACCGCCCTCTGCTGGCCGCGGTGCTCACTGCCTCGCTGACGGGACAGGCCTACCAGGAAAAGGGAGGGAGCTGAGGCGCGAGCTGAGGCGCGAGCTGGGGGCCGTGGCGGGGGCGCGCGCGAACGCTTTCTTGAGGGGATTGTGCGCGTGCGCACCAGCGGGGCGGGAAACGTGGCTGCTGCGTGGCGGCTCCGCCTCCGCACGGAGAACCAACCCAGCTCAGCCAATCGCGAGCGGCAGATGCCTCTGGATGAGGGCGCTATGGAAGAAGGTTCGTGGGCCGCCCGAGGCGGACGGAAGTACGGCCACAGTGGCGCCTGCGCGTCTGGGGTGCTGAGTTGCTGCCCGCCATTTTTAGAGCTGCTTGGGGAGCTGGGAAAGGAACAGCCCCCCAGTTCCTCCGCCGAGGCCCCTCCCCAGGTCTGGGGTTCTCGTTTCCCCTCCATCCTATTGCAGCCGTGGCCCCCCACCGAGAGGCTCGCCGAGGAAACGGGAGGGAGGGAGCAGCTGCTTATAGCCCTGCTCCCACTAGGTTTAATGAGGCCTCCGAGTTTAGCGTTGTATTCGCGATTTAGTGTTGAGGTGCTTTCCCCAAGCCACGGTGAAAAGGTTTCGAGACTGGGACTTCCCGCGCCGCAGATCTAGACGGAACACTGCCCGCTGCAGGCCGATTGGCATCGTCCTGCCTCTGTAAAGCAAATCCTCTCCGTGGTTCCGGGTTTGCATAAGGCGGCAGCATTGGCTAGTTAGTGAGAAAGGAGTGTAGCTAGATGGAATTACGGGCTCAACTTTGCAGTTAGATTTCTCCCACAGCCTAAGATTACGCTCAATGGTTATGAAATGGATTTAAGAATAGTAACCTAGCTGCTGAAAAGGAAATAACTAACAGATCTTGCACGAGCTGTTCAACCTCTCCCTTTCTCTGCTTCTCCATCTGCCTCTCCTTGACCACGGCTTCTACCTTTCACGTGTTTGCAACTTTTTGCTCTAAAAGTGAATCCTTACTCTCCCAAGTCATCATCTCCATGTATGACTCAATTCTCTATCTCTATAGCCGCCCCCTTTTTTTTTAGTATTACCTTACAATCGCTGAACTCCTGTATAACCTTGAGCGCTGGTCTCCAGCAGGTTGCCCTTGTTTCTGATTTCCGTCCTAAAGGTTGCAAGGTGTGTGGCTTTTAACTGCAGAATGGTATTAATTCATGACTGGACTCTTAATACATACAGAGATTTGTAGATAAATTCCTTTTTTTTTTTTACTAGTCTCTGATGACTTCCGATGTTACTCTGCAAAGCCTATTTTGAGCTTTTTGTGTTACTGAAAGTGCCACCCCAAGCCATATTAATAGATAATCTTTACCTAGTTTCCTGGGCTTAAAGCTATGAGACTCCAAAAATGGTCGACAGTTTCTCTATCTTAAAATATCCACAGCCACCTCCTGACCATGATCTCAAAAATTTTTACCGAATTAACCTGTCTCCCCTTCTCACCAAAGCCAGTCTTGCTTGAATTGCACATTATGTCTTCCCAGTTCCTCCTCCTGCCACTATTTCCTAGGATCTTTCATCTTCAGTATCTTCTTAACCACTGCCTTTTTCCTGTTTGCATTGTCTTAAAAGTTTCATTGTCTTAAATTTTTTTTTTCAGTTGCTGTGCTACCAGCCTTTCTTTCTCAAAAGAAGGAGGCACAAATTTCACCAAACCCCACCCCGTTCTCGAAACCCTTTTTCCTTTTAAGTCTCCTAGATCTACATCTACCTAGTTCACTGGTCTTCTGATAGCTCTGCCTCTTCCTTCCATCTCCTAGTTAAACTGGTAGCTCTGTTTTTCTCTACTACAACTTTCACCTAGAAAGTTTACCTGAATTACTGCCTGATCCTGATTTTTTTTCTTAACTAAGGTTCCTTGTGTTCAGCTAATTTCTAAGAAACTCCAGCTCAAAATTCAATATTTAAAGTAATTTATTTCCCATCTTTGAGTCTCCTAATTTCTTAGTATTTTACTTTCAGCATAGTAAGACTGGTCTATAGAATCTGACTGCTCTAGAAAACCGTATGACCTTGGGCAAATCTTCCTTGTGTCTCAGTTTTCTTAACTGTAAGATGGAAATAGCAGTAGTATCTATCCCATAGATCTGTTTAACACTTACTATAGAAGTGCTATGTGCTGTATTATCATGTTGTTCTTGCTAAGAATCATTTAGCTCCAGCTTCCTGCCCCCAGTGCTGGGGACTGACCCCAAGTCCTCAAGTGGCATGCACTCAACACTGAGCTACACCCGCAGCCCGTCTATTTTTTATTTACTATCCAAGGACATAGGTATTTAACTTTCTGAATGTATAGAAATCTAAAAATTTCTTTATTTTTTACTCACACTTAATAATGGAATCGGTGTTTATAAATAATTTCATAGTCCCCAGGCTTTAAATTGTAGGACCAGACTTGACACTTCTTTGAAAAAAACTTGAGCCTAGCCATATCCACATTCATGTCCCTTGTTGCTTTTTTTTGTTGTGACTATCTTCAGTTAAGTCCTTCCCTCCCTATCTCCTCCCACTGTCTTACACCAAAACAATTTTAATAGCTTTCTGAAAAGTCCTGATTCTTCGCACGCCTCCCTTTTATCAAAAATGCAGCATTGAGCTGGGGATTTAGCTCAGTGGTTTCACCGCCTGCTGCCCAAGCGCAAGGACCTGAGTTGGATCCCTGGTACCAAAAAAAAAAGCAGCATTGTGTACCTACAAAAAGCCCTTTGTGGTTCCTATGGCTTACAAAATATTATATAAAGTACTTAAGGACATCCATAGTGTGCCTTGATCTTTTTCTTGCTTTTGTCAGAACTTCTTCCCGTTAGCTGGTCTGGTCTAATCATAAATGTAACCAAAGGGCAGATTCATTCATCTTTTAACCATTTAGTAAAGTAAAAGAGGTCCCATAGCATGTTGACTTTGTTGCAGAATTATACATTTCCCAGAGCTTTCTGCTTTTGTGAAATTCTTTTTTTATTTTTATTTATTTATTTTTGGTATGGGGGATTAAACTCAGGACCTTGCACTTGTGAGGCAGGCGTGGAGCCACTGAGCTAAATTCCTGCCCCTTTTGAGAAATTCTTAATCAAGATTCCAAATCTCTTTGCAAAAATTTTCAAGCACATTTTTTAACAGCTTCAAGTCATGGATATGATTTAAATAGCAAAAGGAATATACCTTTTCAGACACATGCTATTAGAACTTTCTTTCACTCTCTTAGCCAACCTAGCCCAAAATTAGATATTTAATATTATAAATAGAAAAAATACATTCTATAGTATTTGAAATAGATCGACATTAAATGGGGGTTCCTATCATTTATTTTTAAAAGACTTTATATAGTGTTGTTTTATCTGGAGTTTTTAATTGCCTGCCATGTTTTCCTTCCATAAATACCAAGTCATGATACATCTGACAATGTATTAGCTATAACTCTTTCTCCCAGTGCTAAGTATTGAACTAGAGCCTTAGAAAGGCTAGGCAAGTGCTGTACCAGTGAGCTACATCCCTAGCTCCTAATTAAAATTTATTGACCAATAATGTGGAAAAAAATTTGTTTTATAATGAACTCGTTGTGACCATATATATCACATAATTTCTTTAAAATTTTGGCTGAACTTATATCTTTTTCCTCTCTAGATAATTTTAGCTTGCAGAACAGTTCAGTTATTGCATTGACCTTACAGTTCTGCTTAAAGATGTTCAATCAACTTTTGTTTTAATGATGATCATGGTGATATTCCCTCCACAGAAAGGCATTTAAAGCAACATTTAATTAATTATTCTTCCCTTCCACTCCCCTTTTACTGGTCCAGTTGGCTATTTAGACCAAAGAGGTCTCCTGTCTTCTGATCATGCTTCCTCACTCTTTCTCTTTTCCACTTCCACAAACACTGTGTTCTGGGGATCATGACACTGCCTCACTTTTCTCCCCCCAAAAATATTCTTTCTTTGTGTTTTTTCACATGGCTATAGGATGTTTGCTCTTGCTTATATGGCAAATACCAGAAATGGTTTCTCTTTTTTCTGCTATTGCAATTAAGATGTGCTGCCAATTGGTGGCAGTAATATGCCCTAATGTTTCACCTACCAAGCCATGATTGTATTAAGTCATGATTTTTTTTAACACTAGAAACAATTCCTTTAAAAAAAAAAAAAAAAGAACAATCAATTCTGCCTCAACATTGACAATAAAGGAATCCAAAATACTTTCCATTTTAAAATTAGTAACTCCCTTACAGGCAAAATTCTATTCACCACCCACCCCCCAAAAAAACAACAACAACTACGTGACCAGAACTACTCAGATATCTTTAGAAAGAGACAGAGACAGAGAGAGATTTTCAGAGAAAGAAGAAATTAAGTTTCACGGGTATAGTATAGGGATAGAACTAGAATGAGTAGGAGCTAACAGTTCTTACATATTACTTACAATACAGAGTAAAGTAGCAGTAGAACATTTGCTTACTCCAAGTTTCTTAGTGTCCATGAAATTTCCACCTTACTACTCATTTCAAAAGGTCTGGCCCATTTTGGGGATATCCTTAATGACATAGATGTCTTTTTTTAAAGGAAATATTAAATTGTAACAAAGCAGACAACCAAAAGAACTTACAATGGAAAGCAACGAACTGCCATCCTAACTCTTTCCACCCCAGGACCACTCCCTATGACACCCTCTTCTACACATTTTTCTTTGAGATTATTTCAATATTTCTAAATATGCTCATACCAACTTTAAATGATATGTAATGACTCCCTGCTATAAAAGATAAGGACAATGCTAATACCACTGGTTCAATATTTAACAGTTACATTAATTTTTGCTCTCTTTTTTTGTAATTTTAATATAATGTAGTACTCTAGATAAAATTTCAGCTTTACATATAGTATTATAACTCTCCTCTACTGACATCATCTTTCTTCATACATCCTATTCAGCTCCCTTAAACACAGTCAAGAAGCTTTCTACAGGTTGAC